CCTCCAAGCAGAAGGAGTGTACCAGTTACAGCCATGGAAGCTCCCGTGGCAAACCCGAACTGAGCAAATACATTGGCAGTGCTTAAAGCACCAAACCCAGTAGTAAATGCGGCGGCAATGAGAACTACCCCCAATATTGCCTTAAATGCCTTCTTTGAACCTGAAACAACAGGAACAAAATGAACTTCTTCAAAAGAGCCTATACCCATCGAGGCAGTGTTTTCATCAAGTTCCCATCCGCCTTTCAGTTTTCCTTTTACGACTTTATAGCTATATTTTTCAAACTCCTGTCTGAAGCCTTCTATCATATAACACAAAGCCTTCAAAGCTTCCAGCGGAGAAAAAACATCAAGTTCAAATTTTTTCCCAAACTTTTTGGCAAGAATACCATGAAGATATATTGTTTTCATATCAGTCCTTATCCTCCCAGAACAGACAATTCACACCATTTTTAAGAGAAATTATACACCATGGAATACAGGTTGCCTTCTGGGAAATCAAATCAAGAGACGAAGGTTCGCAGTCCTTGTCTGGATGAGAATGAACCACGGCTATCACATCATCCATGTTGGCAAATATTTTCTCATATTCCTTAATAACAAATCCTTCCTCTGGACTATCAGCAGAATTTGTAAGCTGAATAAAACCAGAAGAATATGTAAACACTCCACACATTTCCTTTGGAGCTTCCTTCTTTGATGCGGTAACAGCTTCAAGAAAATCTTTTTCTTCTATTGATTCAGGCTTTTCTATTTCAATATACATTATACATTACCTGCGTTTGCTATTCCTGGAAAACCAAGGAACGGAAGAACATTCTTGCCATATCTCAGTCTGCATGAATTTAATTTTTTACCACATCTGTCCTGTGATGGACTCAGAGTGGAATTATCTTCAGCAGTAAAATATACAGTTCCATCCCAAGGACAGCCACCGTCAGCAACTGGAGTGTATACAAAAACACCCCTTGCTGAATCGTACTTCCTGTATCGAAGAGGACATGTATCTTTCAGACATATTCTCCTTGGAAGTTTCATACCATTAACTTCAAGAGCAGACATAAGCTTAAAAGAAACAACATCCTTTGTTGCCGATTCTTTCTGTGCAACATAGTAAACTTCATCGGGAAATCTCTGGTCTGGGTCGGCATCTGGTTCACCATCAAGAAATCTGCTGAAAGTCTTGATTCTTGTAACCTTTGCTCCAAGAAAATCCTGGAATTGAATCATTGCGGCTCTTATCCCAGCGTCAGCAAAAAGCTTTACCGTAGGCTGTGGAATCGTTCCAGAACCAGTCATTTCAAACCCAGTAGCTTCCATTGCTCTTGGAATATACACATTACCGTTAAATACTATTGGATTATCCCCATTAACGGTGTTACTCCAATATGTTACAGGGCCTCCAAGAGGAGTAAGGTCAAACATAAAGAGTTCAACAAGTTTACCTGGAGCAAAGCTCTGAATAACCGATTTAATCTTTTCTGCCATAAGTTCACCTTACAAATCAAATACTCTTTTAAGTTCGCAGTTGAGATTCACCATCCCCACCTGTCTGATAGCTCTTATCCCACTTTTCGCAAGTCCATTTCTTAGCTATAGATTCGGTAGGGAGAGTATAATAGAAGGATTCATAGCCTCCCATCTGCATAAAGAAATTGTCTATAGAATTAGCCTGAGTTCCAGTTAGATTGTTCCATTGGAGGCTGACAGTAGTATCTATATTGTTTATACCGTCAGCCGCACGCTGAGAGTACCCATCACCGAAGTCGGCAACAAGCACTCTCGCAGAACTGTTCACGCTGGAACCCACGGAAGGAATCACCGATGGGCTGAAAACGTGTACTGTCATCTGTATAAAGCACCTCCAGGTCTTTGTTCTCTAATTATAACATTCATTACCATATCGTCCATAGCCTGCTGAACTTTTTCATTAATTCTATTGGCGGCATCTTCATTTTCTTCTTTTGAACCACCTTCAGCATTTATGGTTATCTGGGGAGAAATAATAATTCCGCCTCTGCCTGAACCTCCAGCAACCTGAACACCAAGGTCACCGCTGGCTGTTCTCTTAAGAGGCATTACTGCTTCTGCACCAGCTTCACCCATCAGACCCATGCCTTTTGCCATAGGAAAAACTGTAGGCTTATTTACAATGCCGCCTTTTGCGTAGGCTGTAAGATGATAACCATTTGAAAAAACATTACCTTTGGCTGATGCAAGAACCAGGTCTAAGGGAGAGAAGAAACTTTTTCCACCCTTATTCCCTTTGTTGCTCAGACCAAAAAGCATATTTTCCATTTTGTTTTCAATCCATTGCGAAGCTAGTTTTTTTATCACATTAACGCCTACATCACCAAGATTCTGAAAAGCATCTCTGAAATTATGAGCTTGAACTACAGCTTCAGCAATTCCACTAGAAATATCAGAATACAAAGACTGGGTTTTCTTTAATTTTTCATTAGCCTTTTCCGTTGCATCTATTATTTCATATTTACTTCTCAATTCTTTTTCGTACAAAGATGCTGATTCTGCACCGCTAATAGCTTCAATCTCTTTTACCTTCTGGGCTATTTCAAGTTCTCTTTCTCTCTGCTTCAATCTTTTATCTCTATCAGAAGTGCTTATTGACGTATTGGATATCATCAATTTTTCTTTCAACAAATCATTACTCTTTGATAATTTATCGATTTCAGAGGTACCAAAATCTTTTCTAGCCTGTTCCCCAATATTCATTCCATATGCAGTTAACCAGGACATTATGTCTGAACTGGAAGATAATTCAAAACGCTGTTTACCGCTTTTCTTTGTTGCAGGATTTTTCTGTGTCGGAGCAACATAATCCATTCCAAGAAGTCTTCTGTACTCCTTTATCTCTGAATTATCTGAGCCAAGAACATCTATTAAAGACACACCCCTGTTTTTAGCTAATTTGTTCAATGCTGTTAAATCTTCCAAATTAGCTATCTCCACAGGAAGAATATCACTACCCTTATATTTTTTTATTATTTTTTTAATATCTTCTTCTTCTCTTAATGGTGTAATAGCGTCCGACAGATATTTTTCCTTTGCTTTTATACTGTTAGAACCCAGTCTCATATAAAAATCGACCGCATCAGATAAATTGTTTTTGGTTCTATTAAATATTCCCATGGCATCAGAAATATTCTTAATCATTGGAGTTAAGTCTTCATTTTTCATAGAATATAAAGATTCTTGAGAGTCAAAATCCAAATATTGAGAAACATTTGAATATCTACCCAACAAACTTTTATTTTTCTTTTTGTTTATCACAGAATCTCTTATTCGGACATCAGATTCGTAATTTAACACATCTTTATATAACTCATCCAAAAACTTGTCGTCTTTTCCTGTAAAGATTAATGAAGCACTTATTTGGTCATAAATATCCCTTAGTCCTGGAGCAGATTTTAAAAGGTCGTTTTTGGCATCAAATCTGTCATCACTTAATACACTTCCACCATTATTCTTCAAAAATCTGACTATTGATGCTATTTGCTTTCCGTTTAAGCTACTTGTATTTGCCGATGCATCTACATTTCCAAGAAATTTTTCAGAAAATTTCTGAATGAGATATTCTTCACTTTTAGATGCCGCACCATAATTGTATGTGGAAGATATTTCTTCCATGTTTCTCTTCTGTAGTTGCTCTGTTTCAGAAAGAGTACTATGAGTATCCCAGCCTTCTTTTATTAGATTTCCAGCAGTATAAGCCCCATAAACCATCATAGGAACACTTACTGCCGCAGAACCAGCAGAAGCAAGAACTCCACCTTTCGCAAAAGCAGTTATCTTATCCAACGCAGACATTAAAGATGCAGAAGTTATTCCGTCTTTAAATAAATTTACGGCTGAAGTTAGAGCATTGAAACCAGTTGCAGAATTTATAGCCCAATTTGCAAGATTTAAGCCGATAGTTACTCCAAGTATTTTATTTATTTCTTTAAATATTTCAGACGTAAATTCTCCTAACGGATTTATCTTCTCGAGTTGTTCTTCAAACTTACCTGTTTCTTCATTAAGAACAACAATTTTTTCTCTTGTCATTCCAAGCATTTGTTGAAGTTTTTCAAGACCAGAACCTATTATATTTATAAATCCTGTGGCAGACTGAGTCACTTCTCTAAAAGCTTTTTCAGCCCCAGTAAGTTTAGACAGCTGTATAACCAGATTTGATGTTCCAGAAGCCAAAAGAGTCAAATCGCCAGAAATATTATCTAATTTTATTTCCGACATTTTTTTAGCTGAACCAGCACTATTTTCAAGTCCAAGATTAAGTCTTTCCAAATCGTCTACATTGGAGGTTAATGCCATAATGGAGTTTGCCGCCCTTACCCCAAAAATATCTATAGCCTGACCAAGAGTAATAGACCTTTCACTCAATTTTTTGACAACGTCTATAAGATTATTATTCTTTAAAGAAACTTCATCATAAGACAACCCCATTTCTTTTAACGCTCTTATGGCGTTTTTTGTCGGGGCCTTAGAAAGAGAAGACAAAACCATTCTTAACGAAGTACCACCAGTAGAAGCCTGAATACCAGCATTTGCTAAAGTGCCCAGAATAGCGGTAGTGCTCTTCAACGAAACTCCTGCGGCATGAGCTGAAGGGCCTGCATACTTCATTCCTTGTGCAAGCTGTTCTACATTCGTATTGCTGTTTGCGGCCGCAAAAGCAATAGCATCTACTGCTGTAGAAAATTCTTTGGCATCCATATTAAAAGCCGACATAACATTGGTAGCTATATCTGCGGCTCTACCGAGGTCTATAGAACCAGCCGATGCAAGATTCAACGTATCTGGAAGAACTTTAAGAATTTCATCCGTTTTAAGACCAGCCATCCCAAGATATTTTATACTTTCTGCGGCCTGACCAGCAGTAAAAACGGTCGTTTTCCCAAGCTTTTCTGCTGATATTGTCAAGTCATTCATTTGTTCAGCAGAAGCACCTATTACGGCCCTAGCATCAGACAAATTAGTCCTAAAATCGATAAGTCCGTCTACTGCTTCCCGTATTTTACTTCCACCAAAATACGCAAGAATCATCTGCATTCTGTTAAGAGAAGAACTACTGGACTCTTCTTCCAACCCAGCTTCTTTCAACCACTGTTCTTTCCTCAACTTATCAAACCGTTTATATTTTTCTTGAGTAATAAAAGCTTGTTTCTGTCCTTCTGGACTGTTTTGCCAATTTTTATATCTTGAAAAATCTGACAGATTCTTAAATGGAGCAATAATAGACTCTTTAGAAGCCAAAGAATATCTGGCACCATGAAGATTTTCTGGAGTTCCAAAAGCCACAAAAGCATCGTGAGCCAACTTTTCTCTTTCTTTTTGGCTCATAGGAGCAAAACTAGCGTCTACTGCACTAACAAGTGTTCTATCTATCTTTATATTATTTTTTCTTCTATTGTAGGCTTCATCGACAGCTTTACGATTATTTTCTCTTTGTATAGCCTGGTCAAAGATACTTTCATAGGAACTTGCTCTTGTTTCTTCATATTCACTAGATTTAGGACTTTTTATTCCAAAAAATGAATTATTATTTTTTACAGCTTCTCTACGTTGCTTTTCTTCTTCAATTTCCTTCTGTGCTAATGAAACTATTTCTTTTCTTCTATCTTTATCTTCCTGTTGTATAACTGGGGCAAAAATTCTTTCATAGGAACCTGCTCTTGATTCTTCGTACCCAGCGGCTCTAGGATTTTTTATTCCAAAGAATGAATCGTTATTTTTTACAGCTTCCCTGTATCGCTTTTCTTCTTCAATTTCCTTCTGTGCCAGCGAAATTGCTTCTTTTTTTCTATTTATCTCTTCCTGTTGCTTAAGATAGTATCCGCCTTCACTTCTACTATCTATTATAGAATCAATATCTCTTTCGGATGTCTTTATAGCATTATTTAATTTTTCTTGTCTCTTTAAAGCCTCTTCATAACCCTGTTTTTCTTTCTGTGCTAATCTTTCATTGTTTTTCTGGATTAGTTCAGCCATTCTTTCTTTTCTAGATTTTTCACCTAAACTTCCAGCAACCTCTGCACTTGTATTTTGATTTTTGTTCATCCAGTCTGTCTGAGATTGTCTTTTTTCTTCCTGTAATCTTAAAATCCCATTAGACTCTTTATCGTCCAAGACAGTTTTATTTTTATTATTTTCACGGATTCTGCGTAAAGCTTCTACTTCAGTTTGTACTGAACCTTTTAAAACTTTTCTCTTTTCGGATTCACCTGCCAAGATGTTGCCGTTTTGAATTTCCTGCCTAGCTTTTTTTAATTCTAAATCTAAGTTATATTGTTCCCATGAAGCTTCATCTTTCCATACGTCAATATTTTTGGATGCCTTAGAAATTCTAGCTGGGTCACCAGTATATACTTCATCTGGGTCTAAACCTGCATTAGACAAAGCCTCGTCTAATGCTTTCATATCAATTCTGCGTTTTTTTCTAGCCAAATACATATTCAAATATCTGTTTTTGGCCATAGGCATGGTTTGTGCCCCAACAGCAGCTCTTTCGGCTAATCGTTGAATCCAGCCTGCTTCTGGGTTATTGTAATCAAATAAAGCTGTTCCATATTGAAGTTCATTCTTATGACTATTTACTCTCCAAGCAAACTCTCCGCTCCTAAGAGCATACAACTGTTTCTGCTGTTCATTCGCCTTATATAAGAGAGGATGGGAAACCGACATTGGTTTCCTTACAGAACCAACATTGCCGTATGCTTGAACTTCCACTTCATTTTTTGTCTTCAAAGACAAAATATAACTATCTAATTCTTTCTTTGCTTCTCTAAGTTTTACAGCTTCATCACCAAGTGAAGAAACATAAGAAGAATTGATTTCAACACCTTTATTTTTTATATTAACTAATTGTCTTACCAAGGTAAGAGTTTCTTTTTCGGTAAGATTATTGTTTGAAGCAACTTTCGTTACTTCTCTAATGATAGAAGCCTGGTCTCCATAAGATTTGTAAAGCTTATTACCTGTTTCTATCAATCTTTCCTGATTGCGAATTTCTCTTCTTTGGGCTGTTTCGGCATCTCTTATTTGCTTATTATATTCTTTTCTCTCTCTCTGTAAGTTAGAAAGCTCTTTCAGCAACCTATTAAGGGTAATCTGCTGTTTTTCATTAAGTCTAAGATTCCTGCTATATATGGAATATAAGGCTTTTTCCATATCAACAAGGTCACCAGTAGTTCTTCCCTGTTCCTTGGCCGCATCAATAGTTTCTCTTATGGCTTTGGCTTTAGCTTTTTCATGGTTAATCAAAGAATTAGATTCAGTATAATTCTTTGCTGTGGAAATCTGTCTTTTTGTAACCTCTATGTCTTCTTTTTTCTGCTCGATAACCTCTTTTATAGCTTGAGCCTTCTTTTTGCTCCCCCTGGAAGAACTATCTGCAAGTTCCTTCAGTTGATTCTGCAAAGAAGAAATTTCATTGGTTAAATCTTTTATTTTTGATTTTAATTCATCAATATTAGAGGTCACACTTAATTCATAATCTACACTATCTGCCATAATAAAAACTCCTATTTCTTCTTAGACTTATGAAAAACAGCAGATTACCCTTAATAGGTTGCTGAAAGAGCTTTCTAACTTACAGAGAGAGAGAAAAGAATATAATAAGCAAATAAGAGATGCCGAAACAGCCCAAAGAAGAGAAATTCGCAATCAGGAAAGATTGATAGAAACAGGTAATAAGCTTTACAAATCTTATGGAGACCAGGCTTCTATCATTAGAGAAGTAACGAAAGTTGCTTCAAACAATAATCTTACCGAAAAAGAAACTCTTACCTTGGTAAGGACAATTAGTTAATATAAAAAATAAAGGTGTTGAAATCAATTCTTCTTATGTTTCTTCACTTGGTGATGAAGCTGTAAAACTTAGAGAAGCAAAGAAAGAATTAGATAGTTATATTTTGTCTTTGAAGACAAAAAATGAAGTGGAAGTTCAAGCATACGGCAATGTTGGTTCTGTAAGGAAACCAATGTCGGTTTCCCATCCTCTCTTATATAAGGCGAATGAACAGCAGAAACAGTTGTATGCTCTTAGGAGCGGAGAGTTTGCTTGGAGAGTAAATAGTCATAAGAATGAACTTCAATATGGAACAGCTTTATTTGATTACAATAACCCAGAAGCAGGCTGGATTCAACGATTAGCCGAAAGAGCTGCTGTTGGGGCACAAACCATGCCTATGGCCAAAAACAGATATTTGAATATGTATTTGGCTAGAAAAAAACGCAGAATTGATATGAAAGCATTAGACGAGGCTTTGTCTAATGCAGGTTTAGACCCAGATGAAGTATATACTGGTGACCCAGCTAGAATTTCTAAGGCATCCAAAAATATTGACGTATGGAAAGATGAAGCTTCATGGGAACAATATAACTTAGATTTAGAATTAAAAAAAGCTAGGCAGGAAATTCAAAACGGCAACATCTTGGCAGGTGAATCCGAAAAGAGAAAAGTTTTAAAAGGTTCAGTACAAACTGAAGTAGAAGCTTTACGCAGAATCCGTGAAAATAATAAAAATAAAACTGTCTTGGACGATAAAGAGTCTAATGGGATTTTAAGATTACAGGAAGAAAAAAGACAATCTCAGACAGACTGGATGAACAAAAATCAAAATACAAGTGCAGAGGTTGCTGGAAGTTTAGGTGAAAAATCTAGAAAAGAAAGAATGGCTGAACTAATCCAGAAAAACAATGAAAGATTAGCACAGAAAGAAAAACAGGGTTATGAAGAGGCTTTAAAGAGACAAGAAAAATTAAATAATGCTATAAAGACATCCGAAAGAGATATTGATTCTATAATAGATAGTAGAAGTGAAGGCGGATACTATCTTAAGCAACAGGAAGAGATAAATAGAAAAAAAGAAGCAATTTCGCTGGCACAGAAGGAAATTGAAGAAGAAAAGCGATACAGGGAAGCTGTAAAAAATAACGATTCATTCTTTGGAATAAAAAATCCTAGAGCCGCTGGGTACGAAGAATCAAGAGCAGGTTCCTATGAAAGAATTTTTGCCCCAGTTATACAACAGGAAGATAAAGATAGAAGAAAAGAAATAGTTTCATTAGCACAGAAGGAAATTGAAGAAGAAAAGCAACGTAGAGAAGCTGTAAAAAATAATAATTCATTTTTTGGAATAAAAAGTCCTAAATCTAGTGAATATGAAGAAACAAGAGCAAGTTCCTATGAAAGTATCTTTGACCAGGCTATACAAAGAGAAAATAATCGTAAAGCTGTCGATGAAGCCTACAATAGAAGAAAAAATAATATAAAGATAGATAGAACACTTGTTAGTGCAGTAGACGCTAGTTTTGCTCCTATGAGCCAAAAAGAAAGAGAAAAGTTGGCTCACGATGCTTTTGTGGCTTTTGGAACTCCAGAAAATCTTCATGGTGCCAGATATTCTTTGGCTTCTAAAGAGTCTATTATTGCTCCATTTAAGAATCTGTCAGATTTTTCAAGATATAAAAATTGGCAAAACAGTCCAGAAGGACAGAAACAAGCTTTTATTACTCAAGAAAAAATATAAACGGTTTGATAAGTTGAGGAAAGAACAGTGGTTGAAAGAAGCTGGGTTGGAAGAAGAGTCCAGTAGTTCTTCTCTTAACAGAATGCAGATGATTCTTGCGTATTTTGGTGGAAGTAAAATACGGGAAGCAGTAGACGGACTTATCGATTTTAGGACTAATTTGTCTGATGCTAGGGCCGTAATAGGTGCTTCTGCTGAACAAATGAATGACTTGACAATATCAGCAGAAAAGCTTGGGAAAACGACCGTTTTTACTGCTGGTCAGGCCGCAGAAAGTATAAAATATCTTGGGATGGCTGGTCTTAAAACGGATGAAATTCTTAAAGTTCTTCCAGATACGTTGAATCTTGCATCGGCTGGTTCTATAGACCTCGGTAGAGCCGCAGATATAGCTACCAATGTTATGTCGGCTTTTAATATGGATGCCAAAGAATTTTCTACAGCAGTAGATGCTATTGCTTTTGCGGCCGCAAACAGCAATACGAATGTAGAACAGCTTGCACAAGGAATGAAGTATGCAGGCCCTTCAGCTCATGCCGCAGGAGTTTCGTTGAAGAGCACTACCGCTATTCTGGGCACTTTAGCAAATGCTGGTATTCAGGCTTCTACTGGTGGTACTTCGTTAAGAATGGTTTTGTCTTCTCTTTCTAAGGCCCCGACAAAAAAACGCCATAAGAGCGTTAAAAGAAATGGGGTTGTCTTATGATGAAGTTTCTTTAAAGAATAATAATCTTATAGACGTTGTCAAAAAATTGAGTGAAAGGTCTATTACTCTTGGTCAGGCTATAGATATTTTTGGGGTAAGGGCGGCAAACTCCATTATGGCATTAACCTCCAATGTAGACGATTTGGAAAGACTTAATCTTGGACTTGAAAATAGTGCTGGTTCAGCTAAAAAAATGTCGGAAATAAAATTAGATAATATTTCTGGCGATTTGACTCTTTTGGCTTCTGGAACATCAAATCTGGTTATACAGCTGTCTAAACTTACTGGGGCTGAAAAAGCTTTTAGAGAAGTGACTCAGTCTGCCACAGGATTTATAAATATAATAGGTTCTGGTCTTGAAAAACTTCAACAAATGCTTGGAATGACAAGAGAAAAAATTGTTGTTCTTAATGAAGAAACAGGTAAGTTTGAAGAACAACTCGAGAAGATAAATCCGTTAGGAGAATTTACGTCTGAAATATTTAAAGAAATAAATAAAATACTTGGAGTAACTATCGGCTTAAATCTTGCAAATTGGGCTATAAATTCTGCAACTGGTTTCAATGCTCTAACTTCAGCCGTAAATTTATTTAAAGACGGAATAACTTCTGCATCTTTAATGTCTGCGTTGGATAAGATAACTGCTTTTGCGAAAGGTGGAGTTCTTGCTTCTGCTGGTTCTGCGGCAGTAAGTGTTCCTATGATGGTTTATGGGGCTTATACTGCTGGAAATCTAATAAAAGAAGGCTGGGATACTCATAGTACTCTTTCTGAAACAGAGCAACTACAGAAGAGAAACATGGAAGAAATATCTTCCACATACAATTATGGTGCGGCATCTAAAAGTGAAGAATATCTCATTCAGAAATTTTCTGAAAAATTTCTTGGAAATGTAGATGCATCGGCAAATACAAGTAGCTTAAACGGAAAGCAAATAGCATCAATAGTCAGATTTTTGAAGAATAATGGTGGAAGTGTATTAAGTGATGACAGATTTGATGCCAAAAACGACCTTTTAAAATCTGCTCCAGGACTAAGGGATATTTATGACCAAATAAGTGCTTCATTAATCTTTACAGGAAAAGACGACAAGTTTTTGGATGAGTTATATAAAGATGTGTTAAATTACGAATCTGATGTCCGAATAAGAGATTCTGTGATAAACAAAAAGAAAAATAAAAGTTTGTTGGGTAGATATTCAAATGTTTCTCAATATTTGGATTTTGACTCTCAAGAATCTTTATATTCTATGAAAAATGAAGACTTAACTCCAATGATTAAGAATATTTCTGATGCCATGGGAATATTTAATAGAACCAAAAACAATTTATCTGATGCGGTCGATTTTTATATGAGACTGGGTTCTAACAGTATAAAAGCAAAGGAAAAATATCTGTCGGACGCTATTACACCATTAAGAGAAGAAGAAGATATTAAAAAAATAATAAAAAAATATAAGGGTAGTGATATTCTTCCTGTGGAGATAGCTAATTTGGAAGATTTAACAGCATTGAACAAATTAGCTAAAAACAGGGGGTGTGTCTTTAATAGATGTTCTTGGCTCAGATAATTCAGAGATAAAGGAGTACAGAAGACTTCTTGGAATGGATTATGTTGCTCCGACACAGAAAAATCCTGCAACAAAGAAAAGCGGTAAACAGCGTTTTGAATTATCTTCCAGTTCAGACATAATGTCCTGGTTAACTGCATATGGAATGAATATTGGGGAACAGGCTAGAAAAGATTTTGGTACCTCTGAAATCGATAAATTATCAAAGAGTAATGATTTGTTGAAAGAAAAATTGATGATATCCAATACGTCAATAAGCACTTCTGATAGAGATAAAAGATTGAAGCAGAGAGAAAGAGAACTTGAAATAGCCCAGAAGGTAAAAGAGATTGAAGCTATTAGCGGTGCAGAATCAGCATCTTTGTACGAAAAAGAATTGAGAAGTAAATATGAAATAATAGATGCAACGGAAAAGGCTAATGAAAAATTAAAGAAAACCCAGTCTTTGTATTCTGATATTTCTAGTGGAATTGCTGAAGCTGTAGTTCAAGCTCATAATTTCAGAGATGCTTTTCAGAATCTTGGTGATGTAGGCGTTAATGTGATAAAAAAACTAGCTTCGCAATGGATTGAAAACAAAATGGAAAATATGCTTTTTGGTCTGAGCAACAAAGGGAATAAGGGTGGAAAAAGTTTCTTCTCTCCCTTAGACCTGGTTCTTGCATCAGCCAAAGGTAATGTTTTTTCAAATGGTTATCATCTTACAGCCTACGCAAAAGGCGGCATTGTAAATAAGCCTACAGTTTTTTCCTATGGCAAAAGGCATGGGTCTGATGGGTGAAGCTGGTGCAGAAGCAGTAATGCCTCTTAAGAGAACAGCCAGCGGTGACCTTGGTGTTCAGGTTGCTGGAGGTTCAGGCAGAGGCGGAATTATTATTTCTCCCCAGATAACCATAAATGCTGAAGGTGGTTCAAAAGAAGAAAATGAAGATGCCGCCAATAGAATTAATGAAAAAGTTCAGCAGGCTATGGACGATATGGTAATGAATGTTATAATTAGAGAACAAAGACCTGGAGGTGCTTTATACAGATGACAGTACACGTTTTCAGCCCATCGGTGATTCCTTCCGTGGGTTCCAGCGTGAACAGTTCTGCGAGAGTGCTTGTTGCCGACTTCGGTGATGGGTACTCTCAGCGTGCGGCTGACGGTATAAACAATATAGATACTACTGTCAGCCTCCAATGGAACAATCTAACTGGAACTCAGGCTAATTCTATAGACAATTTCTTTATGCAGATGGGAGGCTATGAATCCTTCTATTATACTCTCCCTACCGAATCTATAGCTAAGAAATGGACTTGCGAAAAGTGGGATAAGAGCTATCAGACAGGTGGGATGGTGAATCTCAACTGCGAACTTAAAAGAGTATTTGATTTGTAAGGTGAACTTATGGCAGAAAAGATTAAATCGGTTATTCAGAGCTTTGCTCCAGGTAAACTTGTTGAACTCTTTATGTTTGACCTTACTCCTCTTGGAGGCCCTGTAACATATTGGAGTAACACCGTTAATGGGGATAATCCAATAGTATTTAACGGTAATGTGTATATTCCAAGAGCAATGGAAGCTACTGGGTTTGAAATGACTGGTTCTGGAACGATTCCACAGCCTACGGTAAAGCTTTTTTGCTGACGCTGGGATAAGAGCCGCAATGATTCAATTCCAGGATTTTCTTGGAGCAAAGGTTACAAGAATCAAGACTTTCAGCAGATTTCTTGATGGTGAACCAGATGCCGACCCAGACCAGAGATTTCCCGATGAAGTTTACTATGTTGCACAGAAAGAATCGGCAACAAAGGATGTTGTTTCTTTTAAGCTTATGTCTGCTCTTGAAGTTAATGGTATGAAACTTCCAAGGAGAATATGTCTGAAAGATACATGTCCTCTTCGATACAGGAAGTACGATTCAGCAAGGGGTGTTTTTGTATACACTCCAGTTGCTGACGGTGGCTGTCCTTGGGATGGAACTGTATATTTTACTGCTGAAGATAATTCCACTCTGAGTCCATCACAGGACAGATGTGGTAAAAAATTAAATTCATGCAGACTGAGATATGGCAAGAATGTTCTTCCGTTCCTTGGTTTTCCAGGAATAGCAAACGCAGGTAATGTATAATGTATATTGAAATAGAAAAGCCTGAATCAATAGAAGAAAAAGATTTTCTTGAAGCTGTTACCGCATCAAAGAAGGAAGCTCCAAAGGAAATGTGTGGAGTGTTTACATATTCTTCTGGTTTTATTCAGCTTACAAATTCTGCTGATAGTCCAGAGGAAGGATTTGTTATTAAGGAATATGAGAAAATATTTGCCAACATGGATGATGTGATAGCCGTGGTTCATTCTCATCCAGACAAGGACTGCGAACCTTCGTCTCTTGATTTGATTTCCCAGAAGGCAACCTGTATTCCATGGTGTATAATTTCTCTTAAAAATGGTGTGAATTGTCTGTTCTGGGAGGATAAGGACTGATATGAAAACAATATATCTTCATGGTATTCTTGCCAAAAAGTTTGGGAAAAAATTTGAACTTGATGTTTTTTCTCCGCTGGAAGCTTTGAAGGCTTTGTGTTATATGATAGAAGGCTTCAGACAGGAGTTTGAAAAATATAGCTATAAAGTCGTAAAAGGAAAACTGAAAGGCGGATGGGAACTTGATGAAAACACTGCCTCGATGGGTATAGGCTCTTTTGAAGAAGTTCATTTTGTTCCTGTTGTTTCAGGTTCAAAGAAGGCATTTAAGGCAATATTGGGGGTAGTTCTCATTGCCGCCGCATTTACTACTGGGTTTGGTGCTTTAAGCACTGCCAATGTATTTGCTCAGTTCGGGTTTGCCACGGGAGCTTCCATGGCTGTAACTGGTACACTCCTTCTGCTTGGAGGGATAGCACAGGCAACAGCCAAGAACAGAAACGACACAAATAATACTGAGGAAGAAGACAAGAAGGCTTTTACTTATAATGGTGCAGAAAACGCTACAAGCCAGGGAACACCTATTCCTCTTGTTTATGGAAGAATGCTTGTAGGTTCTCATGTTGTTTCAGCATCTATGATTACGGACAGTTTATAAGGGGTAAATAATGGCTACAGAATCAGCGAATACTCTAAGGTCTAAAGCAAAATATAAGATAGTGGATATTGTCAGTGAAGGCGATATCAAGGGTCTTGTGGATGGATGGAACAGCGTATATTTTGATGATACACCAGTGACAACTCCCAAATCTGATGGAACCTTCTATAACAATTTTGATAATTCTGCTGTCTATCATTTGAAAGGTGATGATTTCTCTCTGAGAAGTATTACTGGTTCTGCCCGCAAGAGCCAATATAGAAACAAGTGCTTTCAATGACGGGGTTCCTGTAGGAGATTTTCCAGAATCAGAAGTAACCACTGTATTAAACAAACTTATCACCAAATGGAATCCAGAAGGTGAGACTGATGTGGGTGACGGTTCTCATACTTTTACCATTACTGATTCCTATGCGGATGCTGTCAGAGTGACAATGAGAGTGCCAGCCCTTACATATACGAACCCAAGCAATGGGGATATAAGTGGGGCCTCAATTGATTTAAGATTGAAGTAAAGGCAAATAACGCTACAGAATGGACAAACGCATCTTCTTTGGGTGTTAAAAAAGGAACAAAGGATGACGGCTGGAATGATTTTTCCAAGAATGAGGCTAGTCCATCCTATTCTTCTGGTCTTAAGTTTGGAGTCAGGGTAGACAGAGTAGATGCCTCTACCCCGAACTACTGTTCCTGGTCAGCCAAAATTGCTATACAGTTAAGTCCAGATAATGGTCAGACATGGACTCATACATTCAGCAGAGATGTTTATTACGGTAAATGTGATGGATGGATTAGGAACGCAGACCTTTATGGTGGAGCAGGGAAGTATATAAGCTATAGACAGTCTGGTGGCGGTGCTACTGTTGTTGATTTTGAATTTACTGAAGCTCAGAGTCTGCAAGGTTCATATAAGGTCAGAACAGGTTGGATTAATTCCAATGGTCAGTTCCAGACTTCTTTTACCTATATAAGAAAAGATGGTAACAATCTTACAGGTACTCCTGTGCTGAATGTAACTTCAAGCAAGTTTTTCTACAAAACAACATATAAGCTTGAAGGTAAATGTGTTTCGGCTTATGACAGAGATATTGTTATCCCTCTCCCCAAAGGTGGAAGTCCATGGCAGGTCAGAGTAAGCAGAACAAGCGATGACCACACATCCAGTTATTATAACGATAAGCTTTATCTTTATTCTTACACTTCAATCGTAAACAATAAGTTTTATTATCCATGTCTTGATGGATTTTATCTCGATTTGGATGCCCAAGACTTCACTGGTAATGTTCCTAAGAGGTCTTATGACATTTACGGTCTGAAAATCAAGATTCCGTCAAATTACAATCCAGATACCAGAGAATATAACGGAGTATGGAACGGAACATTCAAGGTAGACTGGACAGATAATCCAGCGTGGATTCTTTATGACCTTATAACAAACAAAAGATACGGTCTTGGAGAAAAGATAGATGCGTCACAGGTGGATAAATGGGCTTTCTATGCCATAGCACAGTATTGTGACGAATCAGTTCCTGGATATGGTGGTATAGGTTCTGAACCGAGATACACCTGTAACTGCTGTATTAATTCTCAGGCTGATGCATTGGAACTTATTCAGACAATGGCTTCAACATTCAGAGGTATGGCATTCTGGAGTTCTGGCAGTATAACTCCTATTTCAGACAAGCCTACTCCTCCTGTAATAAATGTAGGTTGTGCTAACGTCATAGACGGAAGGTTTACCTATAGTTCTCCAGCAATAAACACTATTCATACAGTTGCCTATGTTAAGTGGTCTGACCCAGAAAACAAGTATAAATCTGCTGTTGAAGTTTACGAAGACCTCGAAGCCATAGAAAAGTATGGATACAACGTAGCTAATGTAACCGCATTCGGGTGTACATCAAAGGGCCTTGCCAGAAGACTTGGTGCATGGGCTGTAAAAAGTGAAGTGGATGTTCCTGATACTGTCACCTATGAGGCTGGTTTTGACCATGGCTTTGTCAGACCTGGTGACATAATCAACGTATCAGACCCTAGTTATACTTTTGAAGAGCTTCTCGGCAGGCTCGTAAAAGTAACGGCAGAAGCTGGCTCAAGAATGACCGTTAAGCTGGACAGAAAGGTAAAGATTGTTGCTGGAGACCAGTCTGCAATATCTTTTATACTTCCAGATGGAACTATGGCGGAAGCTGACTGTTCAAGCAATACTACGACCGAAACCGATACATTGAATGTTTCTGTGTCGGCTTTCTCAAGACTCCCAGTTTCTGGTTCGATATGGATGCTAAAGAAGCAGTCTGTTCAGCCAAGACAGTGGAGAGTAATATCTGTTTCTGAATCAAAGAAAAATACTTACAAGGTGACAGCAACCTTATTCAACCCTAATAAGAATGCTGAAATAGAAAGAGGGGAAACCTTTCCTCCTGTAAGCTATACCGCTCTTCCTACCAGCGGTTCATTGATGTTGCCTTCCAATCTTTTCATAAAGGAATACTTGTCACAGACAGGAACAGCAATATCCACGAACATAACTTTTTCCTGGTCTATCCCTCTGGACTTGAGAGTTATGTACTATGAAGCCCAGTATCAGAAAATTGGTGCTCAGAACGTATGGAAAAAATGTCAGCCAGAAAAAACAACTTCTCCAAGTGTTGATATCATAGGTGTTGAACCAGGTGTTTACAACTTCAGAGTTAAGGCTATGGATGCAAAAGGTCAGATTGTTTCCGATTATGCCTATCTTAGAGATGTGCCTATTTATGGTAAACAGCTTCCTCCATCAAGTGTTTCTGATTTTATGGCTGTACCTAAAATTTCTTCCGTAGATTTAACATGGACGGAAATAGATGATATAGATTGTGCTGGATATGAAATCAGAGCAAACGGTTCATCTTGGGATGACGCTGAATTCTCCACCAGGGTAAATGGCAATTCTTATTCGTTCACGGACTATGATGAAGGCGGTGTTATAAACTTTTTTATCAGAGCCGTAGACACAACAGGAAATTATTCACAGAATACTGCAACAGTAAGCTGTAATGCTGTTGCTCCGCTTGCCTTTGGTGAACCTTATGCTATAATTACAATTGAAGAAATCAATAAGCTTTTCGGTATAGAAGAACAGGAGTAAGAAAATGGCTTTTACATATATAACTGGTTCTGGAACTCAGTCCAATCCATACTCTATAGGAAGTAATCTTGCATGGAACGAATGGGCATCTCATGTCTTCCAAGGGAATAGTATGGAAGGGGAGTATGTCGAACTTAACTGTGACTTGGATGGTCTGATAAATGGTGGGAATGTTGTAGATGGCCAGGGGCTTACTGAACTCAATACGCCTTCAGCTTCTATCGAACAGTCTGGTTTGACTGGTTTCGTGGAAGCTCATGTTTTCCAAGGCTCTTTTGATGGGAAAAATCATACGATAAAGAATTATAGTCTTTACCGAAGTTCGATATGTGTTCTTTCACTGGGGAATAATGCTTCTTTAAAAAACATAAGTTTATTGAACATTGGTTTTGGAGAGATGGATGAAATTTTTAAGTGTGTATATCTGGTCGCAAATGCTTCATCAGATAATGTCTTTAATGCGGTAATAGAAAATGTATGTGCAACAAATATTAATGGTCGTTATACGGGTAGCTGTTTTGCAATAAGAATACCAGCATTTGACACCGTTGTTCAGGGAAACATAAATATTTCTAAATGTTTTTATTTTTACAATTGTATTCGTTCACAAAAACGGCCTGGCAGAAGTTTTGTAAAAGAATACCTTAATGGGAACTCTTCGCAGGCTCCTAACCATCAGATAAAAATAAATATTTCAGACTGTGTTATTATAGATTCTGTCTTGGCTAGTACTGAGTCCTATGTGGCACGAAATACGAATGGAACATTTAACTTAAATAATGTGCTGGCTTATTTTTTATCTAACGATATTGGTAATGTCGGGCTTGATTTAGATTCACTTCCAGATGCACATTATTATGGGGAAATTAAAAATTGTTATCTGGCCTGTGGCAATGATTGTGTAAATATAAAAGATTCTTTTAACCCAGTATTCAGTCGTATAAGCAGAGAACAATGTCTGTCTTCTTCAACTTTTAACAATTGGGATTTTTCAAACACATGGAAGATAGACAGCAAAATGGGATTTCCTGTGCCAAAAATCTTTTCTGAAAGATATGTTTACTTATACTACAGACGCAGAGAAGAAACTATGTTGTGTCTTGAAAGCGGAACTTCTAATAGAAGCCCAGGCTTTAATTTCAGAGGTTTTTATGGAATGGTTGAAAGAGGCAGTAATGTTTCTTTTGGCATGGTATCTCTTTTTGGTGGTTCATGGAAATCATTCATGGAAATCAGAAACGTCTATACCAATGCTTTGCCAGATGACGATTTTGTCGATTACAATAACATTCAGGAAAGCGTTATCAAAGAATATACTATAAAGCCGTTTTTTACTGATGGAACAGGAGAAGGAACGCCAGATAATCCTTTTAAGATAAACAATTATCAGGACTATGTTTCCAGTGTATACTTAACGGCTCTTGAACCTTGTTTTAATGGTATATATCATGATAGAGACCAGGCAAAAACTTTCTATTGTTCCATAGAACAGGATATTGTTTGTAATGATATTTCAGATTTTAATGAATGGGATAATAGGAGACCAGCCAATGTTTTGGACTTAGGAAACTTACCAGGTCGTTCTGATTTTTATCTTTCAGTGATAAGAAATTGTTATGATGGTAAAAATCATAAAATAATAGGTCTCTGCGGCAAATCAAGCAGTGGTGTGCCATATCTTGGTTGTTTTGCCAATAAGTCTGTAGTATTTAAGAATACCGTTTTCGATTATATTTATGGTTATTTTACTACGGCTACTGGTGTAAACTATGAATCTCTTACTGGAAGATTTGAAAGATGTGAGTTTAACGGAATGTTTTTCTTTGAAGGTAATGGCTACTTTTATTGTAACGAATGTAGTTTTAATCTACTTCCTTCAATAAGGACTTTGTCGGGGAATTCATATGGAACATACGATGTGAATACAATAGTAAAAATTTTTTATAGCTATGATTCTCCTGAATTACATGCGACAGATTGTGTTTTTAATGGTTGCTTCGCAGAATTAAGCGGATATCGACAGGATTGTTATTATACCAGTTGCGTTTTTTATGGTAAGTATAAAGAACTGTATGGCAATCAAACACGTAGTAGTCTTCAGCTGTCCAATTGCTATTTTATAGATGAAGATGTTTACAATAAACAGGATTTTGAGGGAGCGATTTTCCTTACTAGAGAGCAATATAATGAGGCTTCCAATTTTAGTCTTGATTTCGATTCCATGTTTGAAATGAATGTCGATAGAGGCGGCCCAGTGTTAAGGGGGATGGCTCCTAGATTTAAAATTTTCACAGCATTGAATTTGGACGAGAATGGACTCACTTCAATTAATAAATTCAAATATTTTGCTTCAAATAATGAAACCGTAACCCTAAATGTTACTGTGACTCCAAACAGTCTGTCACATTTTTCTCAGTGGTCTGACGGGGATAAATCCAACCCAAGAACTATTGTGTTGGATAAAGATATGGTCTTGACATATAAACTTCCTCCTTTTATCTCTGGTTTAGATGGTGACGGTACAGAACAGAGTCCTTATCTTATAAAGACAAAAGCAAATCTTATTCGATTGGTCTCTTATTGTAATTCTGCATCTTGGTATAATTTGAATGATGTTTATGCAAAACAAACAGAAGATATTATTTACCAGGACACAACCGAATGGGCAACATGGGAACAGTTAGGTGCTCCCAAAACATTTACGCCTTTTGCCTCGTATAAAGGCGTTTATGACGGCGATGGGCATAGCATATCGGGGTTATATATACAGGGAGAAGACCCTTACAATTATGGCCAAACTACTGTAACATTCATGAAAACTTATAACGGTTCTGGGCGTGAGAATGCTGTTCATATAAAAAATCTTACGATAAAAGAATCTTTATATGTAAATACACCTAAAGTAAGGTGTTATATGTCTGGAATAATGGATGGAAGAAACGAATATGATACAATAGAAGGCTGTACTTTCAGTGGAGAACTATATTCGGAATATATAGGTGATATGGCTGGTATATGTTATGGTATGTCTGAAAGCATAAAGAAGTGTACGTTCAAGGGAAAGATAGTAAATAAAAGCAATGGTATGGTTTTGGCTGGCATAGCTATTCCTACTGGCAATTCTAGAGTGCTTATAGAACAATGTGCTTCTGCTGGAACAATAGAGCTTTCTGGTTCCCCTAATATAACTGGTAATACTGATTTTATGTATCGTGGAGTTGCTGGTATAGCTGGTGTAGATAGTAATTATGGCGTAAACTTATCTATAAAGGAATGTTATAACGCCACAGAGATAAAGGGAATAAAAAATGTTTGGGTGAGCGGCATCTGTAATTTATATAAAGGAAGTCTCTATATTAGCGACTGTTACAATATTGGAGACATAGAATCCCAGGCACAGTCTCCAACTGTAGCTGACCTTTCTGAATTCAACTGTTCTGGAATAGCTAATGTAACATCCGATTTATCTGCTTATATAGAAAGATGTTATAATTACGGAACAATAGTCTGTCTTGATACGAATGGTGAAAACAAGTCTGGCTATGCAGTATCTCCTCGTAGGGGAAGTCAGATGGAAAACTGTTTCTATCTGATAAACACAGGTAAGAATACCATAGATTCCATAAAACCTCTCTCGGCTGTAGAATTTTCTCAGGCATCCAATTTCACTGGCTTCAACTTCGTAAAAATATGGCAGATGGATGCTTCAGAAGGAAGACCAAAACTCATTGCAAATATGGAATATGGTCTCCTGAATCTTCTGCTTTCAGTAAGTAATAAAGATTATGGTATTGTTTCTGGCGGAGGAAGATATGAATACGGTTCAGAAGTTACCATTGTCGCTACTCCTTATTCTGGCTGTTCTTTCAGACAGTGGTCTGACGGTGGAAGGAAGAATCCAAGAAAAATAGTTCTCACCTCGAATCAGCAGTTGCAGGCTATATTTAAGGGTGGGGTTCCCATAAGACTTCTGGACTACTTTGGTCTTGTTCAGTTCTGGACAAATATACAGATGTATTTTGCTGGTATGCTGGCAAGAAAAGTAGACAAAATACAGGCTGGTGACGAAGATACCCCAGTATATTTTAATGCCAACGGTGTACCTACAGTCTGCACATCCTTAGATTTGGATACGACAGGTAACGCTGGTTCGGCAACAAAACTTGCGAATGCTGTGAATATTGCTGGAGTTCCTTTTGATGGAACACAGGATATTGATATAGAAACTACGACAGATACAACCTATGCTTTTATAGACAGCCTTCCTGAAGCAGGAGATATGGTAAATAATGATGTGGGAATATCTGAATCGGATTATTCAAAGATTACATATTCTATGATAGATGATATAATAAAGTAGAATAAGGAGAATAAATATGGCATTAATTCTGAATACTTACGATTGCGGAACTGTGGCAGACACAGTTTTTGCTGATTTGGATAATAATGGTGTTCTCGTTCTTCGTGGTTCAGGTGCTGTAAAGGATTATGGGCAGACGAATGTTCCCTGGCAGAACGTAAAACTTCAGATTGTTTCCTTAGTTGTTGGTAAAAATATAACCAGGCTGGGAAACAACAATTTTGTTGGGTGTTCTAATCTAAAAAACATAAGAATGGAATGTAATCCTCCAGAGTTAGGAATGAATGTTTTTCTAGGTGTTAATGATGTTTCTATCTTATATGACCCATTATTAGAGACCTGGACTTCCAGCGTAAGGGTTGATAATTATGGTGAAGCTTCCGCTGTGAAATGGATAATTCCAAACAGTTCTTTTTTGGATTTCAATGGACTGACCTACTTATGGAACAAAATAAAAATATGGGCTGGTAATAATTTCTCAAAAGTTACAGTAACAAGAAATTTGTCTTCTGGAAGAAAAATAGGAACAATAACAGTAAATGGACAGGCTACGGAACTGTATTGTTTGACGGATGGAACTGGCAGTGGTGACAGCAGTGGAACTGGTGATGCTACAAATGTCGTTGATGTTTTGTTATCT